CGGGCAGCAGGGCTGGCCCAGCCCGCCCCTGGCTTACCACAACTCCGAGGGAAACTGCGTGCGTGCGCTGGTGCACATACGCACGCTCATTTATATATATATATATATATATGTATATATGTATTATCTGCGCACACACGGGGGCACACAAAGAGCTGAGTAGCGGTGAGCAGTTTGCTCGGGATTCGCCACAGTGCTATAGGAAGGGATTTGTCAAATTTTGCTGCCCACCTCTCTCCCGGTGCTGCTGGTGATGCCCAGCTGGGTGGCCAGGGCTGATCCCCGAACAAAGGCCAGAGCAGCCCCCAGACGGCAGGTCTCCGAGTAAGAGAAGGAGAAAGGGACAATCTAGGATGGTTTTCTGGGCTCATGCCTCCCAGCAATGTTAGATACCCCTGCAGTCAGGAAATTGTAAAGAGCCAGGCTTGAAAAATACACCTTTTTATTCTGGTTTGGGCTAGCAGACTTTGCCGATTCAGGGAACAGCACTGTGATCTGATAGGTTCTACTGATTTGTTCCTGGTGGTCCAGTATGGACAGGACCATTGCCTGGTGGGGAAACAAGGTGTTGCCTTTCCAGGTGCTGTGCTCTTGTGTCTTTCTGGTTGCCCAAAGGCCAGGTTGTGACGGTGTCCCCTGCCTCATTGGTTCATGGAAGTAAATGTAGACCAGAAGGGCAGTCAGCCCCTGGCTTAGTCAGAGACGCCTCCTGTGAGCTCCCTGTCTAGTGAAACCCTGTGTGTCAGGAGGTTGGCTTCTCTCCACACACCTCAGTTCAGCAGTGGGATAAAAGGACTGTGAACTTTGGAACCTTCAGGCTGAGGTGATCATCACCTTTTTAAGACCATCCTAACTGTATTTTCCCCTTAACTGCATAGCAGAGCAGATCACTTGTTGCATGGCAGGGTCTGGCAGATGTCTTGCAGGGTCCTCATGGACTGTGACCTTCAGCGTTATTCCAGCTGGAGGTCAGCAGAGGGCTCCAGCAGTGTGGGCCGAGATTGGCTTCTTTTTTTTTATTATTATTTTTTTATTTTTTTTCCTCTGTAGCAGTCAGTTTCAATTTCTGTAACTTTATTGGTGTGACAGACTCCATGTGTGTCGCCAGAGGCTTGTGGCAAACTGTGCTTGGGATAGGTGTCCATTTTGCACAGCCAAAATTTCTGATTTGCTGGTGGGCTGCTGTCTGTTGTGCTTGACCCTTGCTCCTGCTGAAGTCAACAGAAGAAGGTTCAGTGACTCCAGAGGGATCAATATGGCGCCTGCTGTGAGGCTTATTTTGGTAACCAGTCCTCTGCTGTTGGTAGAAAAGAGCTAGTGCTCATCTGTGCCATTTGTTGTGTCCAACAAATCCCTCCTGTGGAGGGAAAGAATCAAGCAGAATTAACTTCTGTCACAAGAAGTCTGATGGGATTGCAGTAGAAGCTGGTCTGGCAATGTAAGTGGTGAGACTTCGGTGTTGTTGTCTTGCTGCTATTTCAGGTTCTGTGATGTAGATACATCTGTGAAATAGAAATCAGGACTCCTGGCACTTCCTGGCTCTGCTTCTGTGGTTTGACCTTAGAGGTCCCCTCTGTGTAGCTCAGTTTCTCATCTGTGAAGAGATGATGATGAGCTTCTGTTAACCAAGGACAGTCCCTTCCACTGAAGCTCTTAGGGCTTGGGGTGAAAGGTGGGTTTGTGTCTTTGGCCATTTTATGCTTTCTTTGACCCATCAAGCTGTGACAGGTTTTTTATTTGGGATGGACTTAATTCTAGTTGGAGACTGTTATTTTAGCTTCAGCCTCTACCTTTTTGTGCTCAGGAGAGGTTTCCACATGTTTTGGGGCACAGGAAGTTGTAGAGGAGTCAGACAAACACGCTTTGTTTCACAGGAGAAGATTTTTCTGGTATAAATAAAGGAAACCACCACCACTTGTGGCTGCACTTTTATTTTTAAAATAGTAGTGTGTCTATATTGCTGCTAAGCCGTTGATGGGGAGGGAGACAAAATGATCACAGACTTTCTCCTTTTACTAGTCCAGCATGTTTTCACTTGACTGCTTGAACTTAAACTCTGTGTTGAAGAGTTAATGTGGGTCCTGTCTTGGCTTTAGCCTTACTTCCCCTCCATTCACGACAAAGAACCTGACTCAAATCTGGTGGTGCTTTGCAGGGTAGGAGTGTGAGTTAATTGTGGGATTAACTTCTAATGTGGTCTGAAACTCAGACTACAGGATAGGAGCAGACCTAGTGGTTAGTCCTTTGGTGACCTTCCTGTGTTCCCCATGAAAGAGACTTTCTTCCATTCATGACACAACCAGTGGAAAGGAAGCACAGGCAGATTCAGCCCAGCAAAGTGTGGAATCTAACTCCCAGTAGACAGGAGTAAGTGTAGATATATGATAAAAGGGGCAGGGCTTTGCTGTGAGGTTGACTGTACCTCAGTCATGTGCTCCAGTTTGGTTTGGGTGGTAACTGTGCAAATTAACTACAGTGTTGCACAGCCTCCATGTGAATGTTCTGTGTCCAGCAGAATCAGGCAAGGTGCCTTTTGTGGTAAGATTTTCTGACTGGCAGCTAGGGAAAGATTCCCTGGTTCCTTTTCAAAGGCTGATTCAGACCTTGGAAAACCATCACATGTTAAAGTAAAGGTAGAAACTCCCAGATTGTTCATGAGAAGGCTTAAGTCCTGTCAAATCTCCCAGTTCTCAAGTATAGTTGTCAGGGTGCAGCTGTGAAAGTAAAGGCCCTATGAAAGAAGTTGAATGTGCTGTTCTGGGGCCAATCTGTTATTCTGGATTCTCTGGTGTAATCCAAATGCTTGGGTAGTGCAAACATTTAGAAAAGCATGGCAGACGTTGGTCAGTTTCACTTTACTTTTCTACTGTTTCGGTTTCTGCCTCCTTTATGCCCCAGACTGGTGTGGTGAGCAGCATTTGATCTGCACAGGTAACTGCTGCTTTCCCTCCCTCTTACTTTCTGTCCCTCCCCTTGACGTAGGTCTGTAAGCATTTTTATCCTGAACTATGCCTTTACTGCCAGAGTTCTCAGATCCTGTGTCTGGCATAGTGTGAATAATCAACAGTGCAGTTCAGCGATTATCTTTGTGCCTGCAGAATTTCCCACATATTAAATTGTTCAACTATGTTGGAACATAGGAGGTGACTAAAGTCACTCCAAGGAGAACAGGAAAAAGGAGGAGAAGGAGGTAGTCACAGACAAGATAGGATAGCAGACAGGAGACATACGGCAGTTAGGGGAGGAGGGAAGAGTAAGGAACAAGGAATAGAAACATGTTGTCTTCTAGACAAGGAATACCAACAAAGCAGTCCATGCCTGCCAGGCTACATTTCCCTTTCACAAGCCACTTTCTCTTTTAATAGCTGCTCACTCTCTCTGACACTTCAAACTCCTCGGATGGAAGCTCCTCCCCTCTTGTACCCGCTCTCAGCACTTCAACACTATGGCACTGTCAGCCCTGTATGACCTAGAATTAACTTTCAACAATTAACTGCGGGCTGTGAGCTCCAAGCCCTGCAGCTTTTGCATTTTTGTGGCAAAGTAACCTTTATGCCAGTTTGTCACAAGTTCAGGGCACTTTAGAAACGCTTACTGGAGACCATGATTTTCCATGATGCAAGCAGTTTGCTCTTATCACTCTGAGTTATCAACCTTGGTGCTAGAGGACTCTGCATACTGTACAGGTGGATCATTACAGTGCATAACAGCATGGGGCAGGTACTCTCTCCTTGTGCATACTCTTACCCTCTGATCATGTGAGACATCCTCAGTTGCCAGTGTGGTGCTACAGCTAGGAGGCCTGGAGGACTCCAGGTACTCATTGTTTGCAGTACTGTACTAGCGCCCAGGGTTTGTATGTATGTGTACTTATCTATACTATCTTTCATCTCTTTAAACCTCTCCAACCCTTGACCAAGCAGCAGAGTGAAGCTTTGGCAAGAGACTGGGAAACATTGAGAAATACTTGTGAAATCAGTGCAGATCGCAAGCAGTTAGTGTTTGTTCCATTTGTAGGGAAGGCATGGGATAATGGCAGATCCACCCTGTTCCCCCTCCTACACTGTCTCATTGTGGTTCAGTAGCCAAATATATAGTCTGGTTAATCCTGGGGGTGCTGTGAGCCTACTTTGAATCTTTCAGTGGGTGGCTTGGTTCCTCAGTGTGGGATAGTGGTCAGTGTGGAGACATGGAGGCTGTCACTTTGTAGTGGATGCTGTCATGGTTCCGTGATGACCTGCTGAGGTGGATGTTCTGCATGGCCAAAAGACATAGATGACAGGAAGGGTAAAGATGCATAGCTCCATGGTTCAGAGCCTCTGCTTGCTCTTAGAAGTGTTTGTGTGCTGAGGTCTGTACAAAGGATGCTTCTGACTTCAAAACCCACTGGGGCATCCACTGGCTGTTTTGAAAGGGAGTAAAGGGCAAACCAGTGAAAGGCCTTAATCCAGAGTGCAGATTATCTCCTGCAGCTTTTTGGCTGATCTGATATTCTTAGTGGCAGCATGCCAGGAATATGGGGAATAGCAGAGAAGAGGTTTGGGGAAGAGTCACCTGTGGCATGCATCATGGTACCAGGGAGGCAAACAGTGAGGCTCTTTTGTCCATCTTGCCTTTGCCCTGAAGCAGCCGTAGGTGATTTTTTCCCTTCCCACTTGATGTGTGTGTATGCAGAGCACAGACAAAGGATTTAGGCCTGCAAGACTGTTAGTGAAGAGCATAGGGTAGCTGTGTTGCAACTGTCTGGCTCACTTTAAGGGGTGAAGCACTAGACATTCTTGAGCTAAGTTTGCATTAACTTATTCCCTCCATTCCTCTTTTAGTTATCAAATTCCTGGAAGTCTACGAGCGCAGCTTCTGCAGGACTATTGAGACCCTGGTGGACATTTTCCAGGAGTACCCTGATGAGGTGGAGTACATATTCAAGCCATCCTGTGTGCCTCTGATGAGATGTGCGGGTTGCTGCGGCGATGAGGGCCTAGAATGTGTCCCTGTGGATGTGTACAACGTCACAATGGAGGTGAGGGTCCAGCTTGCAATCTGCCATGCATGGTTGGAAGGAAGCAAGTCAGCCATCACATCTTGGACAGCCACCCCAAGTCCCAACTCCCAGCTAATTCAGAGGAAATGCAACCTACCCCAGGGAACCTGTCTTCTGACTCTGGTGCTCTGTGTTAAACCTCACAGGGTTAAAAGATGAGTCGCCCATGTCTCTTTAAAGCTAAGAGGAAGGTCTGTTTTTTGGCTCTTGCCCAAATACAGTAGGCAGGAGCATGCAAAGGAGTGTTTCTGCAAACGAGCGCTTCGTGCTTAGAGAATGCAAAGGAGCATTTCTGGTGGTGTTACCTCCCAAGTTCTCAACATATTCCTTGGTTCTTGCTCCACCTTAATTCTACACACAGCTGCTGTTCTGACCCAGCTGAGTAGGGCAAAAGGGGAGAACCTGTTGGTACTCTCACCTGAAGGGCATGTGAGGTCAGCCTGTACCAACAGAGCAGGGAATTTTGGTCATTAGCTACCTTGGCACAGTAGGGGTTAAAGGGGCTCTAAGAAACAATCCGCTTCTGTGTCAGCTGGAAAAGCCTTTCTGCCTCTGGGCATCTTCTTCTTTTGTTTGGAGGCTGCTGAATTTGTTTCTTGGAAGAGACAGAGGTGGCCATGATAGCAAAGACTGGGCCAATGGGGAAGATGCAGATGGATTTAGAGAGCTTTGTTACTGCCCTCGTCTGTGAGGCTGGATCCCAGCTCATGTCCAAAATCATGCTGGTGCCCCTTACCTGTAACCCATGGCTCCCTCACCTACTTTTGTCCCTTAGCCTCTTAAATGGCCACTGTAAATATTGCTGTCACTTTTTAATATTGATGAGAGATGTGCAGTACTAAGTGATTTACCAGCAGGTCCTTTTACTTGAAATTTGGGCTGTGTTGGAACTCTGTTGAAGAACCAGCCTATGCCCTCTCATGGTTCCCTATACTACTTCTCCACTTGCAGGCTCCAGCCTGGGCCAGACCATACTAGCTTGATGTAGCTAGGGATGGTTTTCTTCCTACCATTCCTTGCTGAATTATAGTTCTTGACTGGTATGCCTGCATGCCTGTAAAGAGTCAGAGGCACTTAAGCAGATCTCTAGAGCTAGTTTTCCATCTGTGTTCTGGGTTAAGAGAATGTGACAATACTCCATAGCTTCTAAATAACTTCCCTGGAGGTACCTGGGGCTTGGGTCTGGGTGATGTCTAGCTTTGCAGGACCCTTTTAAACACAGATCTCCAGATTTCTTTTGTGTGTCAAGTTACTGAGAAAGTGAGATGTCAGCTGGGAAGGAATGGTGGCATAAGGAAGAGGACCTGGATTTGGAATTTTCAGCTGGGACCTTTGCATGCGACTGAGTATGGCTTGTGCACAATCAGGCTGGATGTTCAGCTACTGTTTGTCCAGCATCAGCCAGGGAGGGCTCATTGAGAACCTTGCTATGGTGGTATACCCTCTCCCATGCCTGTCTCCAAGGCAGTCCACCACAGCTGGCACCAGACATGCTTGAGCAAACAGAGGTTTGGCACAAGTCTGGTGTTGCTGCTCGCTTGTGATCAAAGGCCTTTTCTGACTGGGAGTACAGGGCCTCAGAGCTAGCTCGAACTCTGCCCTGCTCTTCCCAGGAGCACCTGGGGTGTTAGTGCTTTGCTGTACAACAGCCTGATTTGAAGATGAAGGGTGAACAGGCAGTGACCCTCTCTGTTTCTTTCATTCCAGATCATGAGAATTAAACCCCATCAGAGTCAGCACATATCACACATGAGCTTCTTACAGCACAGTAAATGTGACTGCAGGTGAGAATGGAGCAACACTGGTTCCTCTTGCAATAAACTTACTCTGAGCCCTTCCTTTTTTCTGCCATTGGGTTGGGACTCTTGTTTAGACACTTCTGCAGCCTACTTGGTTGGTTTGCAGCGGGATGATTGAGCCTGGGAAGAAAAGCCCTCTGCTGTCAGGGCTCTTCCATCTCTAGCTATCACAGGTGGACAGTGCTAACCTACATCCTGGGATCTTCTGGCACTACCCACCAGCATGGGTCAACAGGAGAGCAAAAGCACTTTGAGATGAATCACTTCACCTGTGCCATGGGCATCCTGCAATGCTGCCTGTACATGTCCTTCCCTGGACTTGGTGGGAACTGGGGATGATATCAGAAGTATATGTGATAAACTCTCTTCTAATGAGGTCTTTGTTCTGTCTTTCCCCACAGACCAAAGAAAGATGTCAAAAACAAACAAGAAAAGTAAGTGACAAGCCTTTCCTCCTTTCTCTTTTGGTGGTTGGTTGGCATTTCCTCTCCCCACTTCCCCACGCCCTTTCCTTTGGTTGGATATACTCACTTTAAGAAGGTGTTTTTGGAAATGGCATATGGTACTGCATGGGGCGATGCTCTGAATCCATTCCAGGTGGTCACAGAAACTCAGATCTGATGGTCCTTCCTTCATACCCCAGACATGGACCTTGCATGACCCATGGCCATGGCAGTCATTCCTAATGCTTTTTCCCGAGTCAGGGAAGTCCCGTCGTGTCTGTCCTGCTGGAATGGATTCAAGGTGCAGCCCCCATTCTCCCCTTCCCTCTTCCTGGGGTGTTTCTGGTTACTGCAAATTGCTGCCTTCCTTTATTATTAATTTTTTTCTTGCTGCTTGAGTGAGTACTTGCTGGCTTCTTTCACAGCAGCTTTGGTAGGAACTCCGCTGGCTACAGGGAGAGGTGGAAGTAGAGGCCTGGTGGAGGCAGGACTGATGCCATGCAGGATGTGACACTGGTTTTGGTTGGGTGGGGACCTGGGAGGGTGTAAAAGGAAGGTGGATGTCCTAGCTGGGTCTCAGTGAAAGCTTTCATGAAGCATTTTTTGAATCTGATAGATTTGCTTTGGTGGCCTGAAGAAGGTTAAGTCACGACCTTCCATTTACTTCTCCCCACAGTAAAAAGGTTGTGGAAAGTAGAAAAATAAGTCTAATCCTGCAGTAGTTGCAGGGACGCGCATAAAATATGAAACAACATTAAAAAGAAAGAATGATCTCTCTGAGTGAGAGGATCAGCTGGGCTGTGCATGACTGGGAAAGCAACTGCCATTTAGAGGTGCGGAGTTGGAGAGGAAGGAGTGAATATTTGGAGATGCGACTGAATCTGAGACAGAGGGAGCAAACAGGAGAGAGAGAGCTTCTTTCACCCCTCTCCTGGTGGTTGTATGTTTCTAGCTGCCTTCCAGCCTCTCCTCCTCCCCCTGGAAATCTGCTCCTGGCTGCATCAGACTGCGTGCAGCCAACAGTCCTCTCTGCACAGGGCCGGTCGGGGCCGGTTGGTCTGTGTGGCTCTGTAGTTTGAAGGTGTGTGAGAGTTTGGTCTGTGTGAGCTCTGGTGAGGATGGGGTGTGGGTGTAGCAGCCAGCTCGGATTGTGTTGCATTCACTTTCCTTTTCTAACAGCACCTTGCCTGCTCTTTGCTGGTTCTGCACTCCCCAGGGAAGGAAGGGAAGGGAAGGGATGGGAGAGACTGGTGTGCTTTGATTTGTGCTGGATTGAAAGTCTTGTTATATTGGTACCCCTCTCCTCCCTTCAGGTTGATTTTCTTCCCCTCACCGTCTCCCTGTGACTCCTGCCTGACATGTAGGGCAGAACCGGGACTGAGCTGATGCTCTGACACTTGTTCCAGTGAGACAACTTGAACAGGGCCTAGGAGACACCTATGGTGCTTTCTCTTCTGTCTCCCCAATTCCCTTTGACAGCTCTCTCCCGAGGTGGGCTGCCCCAGGGAATGAGGGAGCCTTTGCTGAACCGCCTCAGAGATGGGACTCATTTGCCTGACAAGCCCTGGTGCTTTGCCTAGGGCCTTTTCCTTGCATGTCTCTCCCTTGCTCCTGTGCTAATGTGGCTCAAGGAGAAGTACAGGCTCCAGCCTCCCTCGCTCCCTGTGCTCTCAAATGGCCCATAGGGATCCATGGTTAGTGTCCAGGACTATATGTCCTAGCCCCTGCCTGCTCAGCTCCTGCCCAAGAATGAGGCAACTGGTGAATTTTTCAGAATGGAGTCAGTGCCTTGGCTCCATCTGCTTGTTTGTATGGCAGATCCACGTGGAAGGTGACAGGAGGGAAAGGAGGGAAGAACTGAAAGCTGCTTGCTGGTTTTCTCCTGGGTAAAATAACTAGGTCAGGCCTTCCTCTTCCCCCTCTTTACTCTTCAGTACTCAGAATGGAGGCTGCCAGAGGAGATGTTACAGACATCCAAGTAAGGTCTCCTGGAGTCCTCTGAACCACAGGCAGGAGGTGAGGTGAATGAGCAAAGCCTTCAGGTTGGATAACCCTCTCCCACACAGCAGTGCTGTGTAGATCAAATCTCTTCCCTTGTCTGTGGAGTGCTCCCATCTCAGGGCAGGATTGGCACCCGCCCTGCAGCAGAGCTGTTGGAGCTCAGCTGCCCCTTCAGCTAGGCCCAGTGCTGGGCAGTCCATCAGGTCAGAGTTGTTTCCTCTTACCTGAGGAGAGTCCTTTCACTCTGGTTGCCTTTTGTCAGTTGTTGTGCGCCTGTGCTTGTCGCCTGGAATGGTTGTCTGCACTCACTGCGGTGGTGTGATGCTTTCACAAAGCTTTCTGTTCCTTCTCCCTCTCACCCCCTGCCCCTTTCCCACTACCCCTCTCTGGAGGGGGAAGGTGCCCCTCTGAGGCTCCAGCAGATCCACCTCTGCTCACAGCAGCCTTGCAGGACATGGTCTCTGCTGAGTTCCCTGGTGTTTGCTTGGCTGTGGGCAGGCTGTTTGCAGAGCTGACAGGAGCGCCGGAGCCGGTGAATGTGTGTGCGAGGTGGAGATCTGTGCTTCGGCCCTGGGATTTACTCTCCAGTCCTGCCTCATGTGCTTCTCCCCTCCCAGCAAGGCACATGGCTGTATTTTTTTCCTCTTCTTCTTGCGTTTTCTTCCGTTTTCTCTCTATCTCTCCCTTTCTTTCCCCCTCTCTCTCTTTCTCTTTTTTTTTTTTTTTTTGTTTTTCTTCCAGAAAATCAAAGCGAGGAAGGGGGAAGGGTCAAAAGAGAAAGCGCAAGAAAGGCCGGTACAAACCACTCAGCTTGTACGTTTGTGTCCTCTGCTTGTAGACTCTCTTCCCTCCCTCTCCCCAAACCAGTCTGCCTGCTTGCTACTCGCTCAAATCTCACCCTCCCCTCCCAGTCACTGGTGGGCTGCAGATCCTGCAGGGGCAGCACTGGTGGTGGCACTGCTCTGGCACTAAGGCTATCTCAGGGAAGCTGCCTTTAGCTTGCTTGGCTCTAATCATCAATGGTGACCATTGTCCCAAGGCACAAGAGTGTTGTGGGTGGACGAGTACCCTGCACTTCTTCACGCCTTTCAGTTGCAGCTCTGTCTTCTGCTTTCCACCACTTGTCTCGTGCCCTCACTGCTATGATGACTGGTGACAGGCAGGCTGACATCTACCATGCATGTGTGTATGTGTGTGTGCGTGCGTGTGCACATATGCGTGCGTGTCTGGTGGAGTCACAGGTGGAAAGGAGAAGGGGGACAGCGGGAAGCCAGAGAGGGGGTGCTGGGGAGCCAGGGGGGAATCTCTGTCTGGTTTTTTTTTTCTCTCTTTCTGCTGGATTTGGTGGCTTGTCTCCCTGTCTCTTTTGCTCTGCCTCTCTCATGGTGGTTCACAAAATTCTGCATTGTAAATTCACGGCCCCTCCATAGGAGACGCTTAGGTGGCGAAGCTGGGATGGGGCTTACAGAAAGGAGAGCAGTGCCGGCTGCAGAGATTAGCATATGATGCTGGAGCCCAGCTGCTTTCCAGGGAAGGATAGACCCTGTGTATTTAAACTTGTTTAGCCGCTGGCCTCTTTCTACTCAAATAGTCCACTTCAGAGAACTTCTTTTATTGATGTGTCAATAGCTGGCTGGGACCTCTCACCTTCCCATCCTTGCTTTCCCCTTCTTACTCCCTCTGGCCTGAGCCAATGGATCCAATGCAGCATTTGTGAATACTGTGCAGAAGGCCTGTTTTCTTTCTCTATGCTAATGCAAGGGGTTGCTGTCCTGGGTCTGTCGAGGTGCTGCTGGAAAATCCATCAGCCCGTGGCACTCCAGTGGGCAGCATGGGGGCTGCGGGAGGGGGCAAGGGGATTGCTTTGATGTTCAGGGTGTTGCATGTGTATTTTCTTTCTGCTGAAGCGCTGTAGCTTAGACATCTTTCCTTTTGCCTTTTTGCAGTCACTGTGAGCCTTGCTCAGAGAGGAGAAAGCACTTGTTTGTACAAGATCCCCAGACCTGTAAATGTTCCTGCAAATTCACAGACTCACGTTGCAAGTCGAGGCAGCTTGAGTTAAACGAGCGCACTTGCAGGTTTGTGTCCTGAAGGATGAAACACACAAAGAGAAAGAGAGAGAAAGAGAAAGATGGGGGGAGCTTGCTTCCTGCTGACTTCTGGCACCAGTGCTATTTGATTACTTTTCTCTGTCCTACGTGGGCCCGGCGAGCAGAGGGGCTAACTGGGATGAGGAGTGTTTCCTTGTGTCAGAGGCCAGCTGTGCGTTTCAGGTGTGCTCTCAGGACTTGAATGGGAATGGCTCCCAGAGACAGGCCCTTTGTATCCCAGGTATTCTTTACCATGCAATAGGATAATGGAGTTCATGTTGCTGAGGTAGGCAGGGGGAGGGTCTGTACTCCTCTGTACCTTACCTGTACGCAACTCTGAGCATACCGTTGGACAAAGACAAATCCTCAACTGACTAGGATTTGACCACCCCTGTCTTCCAAGCCCTTTTTCTGTGGCTTGTAGATGCTTTAGTGTGTGCAGAATGAAGAAAGCCAGTAGGAGCCTCCCTCAAGGCTGACCCTACATTCTCCTTTGCCTCTTTGTTCTTCTAAAAGCCAGGGAGAGCACCCTGTCCTCTTGTACTGTGGTCACAGTTCCCTGTCCATGTCCTGTCCAGAGTTGTGGTTTCAGAGGCTGCACTCAGGACTGTGAATGGAATACAGCAGATTTAAGTCTGACTCTGGGTGAAGGCAGAGGTGTGTATTTCAGGTGTGAGGTGGGAGACATAAAGCCACTGTGGGGTTAGTGTTAGTTTGGAGATCTATGCTGTGCATGTGTCATCTGAGTGCTGTCACACACCATCTGTGGCACAGACACATAAGAAAACTGATTCCCAGTTCTCACCTGAGCACTTCGGTGAGCTCATTGGGGTGTCTTGAGTCGAACAAGCTATGTGTGCACCTCTGGTGTGAGATCATCCTACCTGTGTAGAGGGAGATATATAAATAGGGTTGCTAATGAGCACTTGGCTGTGACTCTGAACTCAGATCCCTTTCACAGAGGTCTAGGAGATTGTTCCTGTTTCTGCAGTATTGCAGCGGCAACAGCTCAGTAGGAGAATACAAGGGAGGGCAATCCAGAGTCCTCTGTGGCTGTGTCCTGAAAAGAGGAGATATCCATTGGCTAGGTGGCTAAGGCTGATACAAGTAGCAAGTGCTTCCTTTGGGTGTGAAAATGTTTTGAGTCCAAGCCAGAGAGGCATTGGCACTGTTAATGTGATGGAAGTTGCTCTGTATACAGAGAATTTTTCTGGAGTGCTCTAATTTCAGTGGGAAAGTAATTGATGGAGGGGCCAGAATAGAGCAACTTCCAGAGTTAAACTTCTCCTAGTGAGCAAAACCCCTGAAGTCTGAGACCAGACTTAATGTTGGCCTTTTCCTCCTTCTTCTTTTCCAAAGTCCAGAGAAACTGATAATTACCCCACAGAGTTTGGAGGGTGAGAAACAGTAACAAATACAATGAAAAGCCAAACAATACTCTGAAAAAGTCATGATGATAGAAGGGGTTTGCTAGTTTTCTCTTACTAGTCCCTCTCTGTGATGGGATAATGGGCACTAAGAGAGGTTTCCAGAGGTGATATGTTGGCCAGAAAAATGGGAAGGAGTCATAGGAGTCGTTAGCTTATCAGTTTCCAGATAAAAAGCTGGTTAAACTGAAGTCCGTCTTGCTCTTTCTTGTAGAATTAGAACTGGGACCTACAGGGGAGGGTCAATTCTCATTTCTCCTGCTGCTTCTTCAGGGCACAGCTGTTCTCTGGTGCTAACCCCCACTCACAGCAGCTAGTGGAATGAAAAGCACTTACTTTTCACCTTCTTGCCTGCATGAGGTCTTGTTGTCTGCACTGCTTCCAAACAAGAGGCTAGGTGGAGAGCTGAGGGCGTGTCTCTGCATGTATTGCTTAGCCTTGTTTTTCTATGTTTGTGTGTATTTGTGTGTGTGGTGTGCAAAGATGCAAACAAGACACTCAGATTTTTTGTGAGGAAGCCACTGATTCTGCTCCTAAATTTACCCGTTTGAGTATTCCCCCTGCTCTGTCTGGGTGAGCCTGGTGGAATAGAATTCATTGACCCATTTGTGGGGTAGAGATTCTCAGCTGATTTGCCCATCTGCACAGCACTTCACCCCACCAGTGACGATCATGTCATGTCTTAACACCATGTGCTCTTAAACACATTAGCCACCACCCTTACTTCCCTTCCCTGCCCTAGTTGCACTCCCATCACAAACATTAACCCCTGTTCTCTTTTTTTCCTTCCTTCTTCTCTTTGACAGATGTGAAAAACCTAGACGGTGAGCCGCGGAAAAGAAGGGGAAACAGCCCTGTTTCTGGAGCCTGATTTCTCACCTGGACAGAATAAAACAAAACAAAACACTAATCCAAATGAACCCTAAAAATGAAGGATCGGTAGAGCACAGCACTTTCAGTACGGACGATGGACTCCGGAAGGAACATTCCCCAAGGCACCCGCCGCACAGAATTCACCTTTGGGTTTTGAACTGTTTTATTTTATTTTTCTTTTTATGCTGCTAAATAACAGAGCCAGGAAGACTTATAGGGGTGTATTTGATGGGTTTTCCCATGCATACATATATATGTGTGTATACATGCATATACATATATATATATGTATATATATTTTAACCACATCTATATATACATATATGTATATCTTAACCACACACATACACACACACATATATATATTTTATATATATATATATATATATATATATATATATATATACACTGATTATTTTTTTTAACATTGCTAATGTTATTGGTGTCTTCACTGGATAATACTCGACTGCTGTGGACACAAGCGGGCTACTTGGGGCATAAGATACAAGCTAAGACTGGACTTGAGTAGAAGCGCTGGGTGTAAACTTCTTAACTCTAACTGACTTGTGTGGCCTCCGCTGTTTCTCTGTAGAGTGTGCTGTACCACAAACCACCTTCTCCTTGCCTGGGACAGGGAGGAGAGTTGATGGAGAGGATGGGCAGGGAGTTCCAAAGAGTGGCATCCTAGGGTGCGATGGGTCAAAGGCCAAGGAAATGGCCATCTCCGTGATCAAGGATTCCTCCTCCCCTCTCTTCCCCCAGCCTTCGCCCTTACTCGTCTCATAACCTGCCTGCCTTGCTGGGACATGGGATGTCAGTGTACATTTTGTGTTGACTTTATTCGCTGTAGAACCTTTGCCAGAGAGACATGCTGGCTTCTCTTAAGGATGGTGGGCAGCTGACACGCACTGACTTTCTGTTCAAGGAGTAATCACAGGAGTCTAGATTTCCCGCCCTTGGTGGCTGCAGAAGGACACAAGGTCTACAGTGTGCTGAAGCAAGAACGGGGACCGGTGCATAGCCACACAATTGTTCAGCACTGTCTGCTTTCTTCATGCACAGAGCTGCCACTCAAGAGCATCCAAGATGCTTATGGAACATTTCTGGAAAGGGATATTAATCAAAAGTATATACACAGTAGTGGGTGTGTGTGTGTGTATGTATGTGAATGTATGAATTTGTGTGTATGTATATATGTATGTATGTGTTTTTATCTCTTTTTTATATATATATATTTATTTTTATACATATATATATATAAAAAATAATATATATGTATGCCAAGATTGAAGGGGGAAAAAAAGAAAGCAACTTTTGCTGCCTTCAGTTTGCGTGCCCAGTGTGAATGACCCTTGAGAACGTCAAGATTTTTTTTAATGACGTACTGTAAATACCAGGCTCCTTTTCCATGTTTTGGGCTGGGGAATCAAATGTGAAGGCAGCTGGAGTCCCTTAGCTGTGTCCTGAGGTTCTTGGCTATGTGTGTATCTGCAGTGCAGGCTGTGGTGTACGTGAAACCCACCTTACACACGCCCGCACACACACGCGCCCCTGAAAGTATGTTTGTACGTCTATGTGGATATATATAATCTAGTTCTGTGATTAAAATTATTATTAATAATAATAATAATCAAAAAGGTACTCAGTCTGTGTCAGAATGCTGACAAACATCATCTGCGATTGAATTTTCAACGCCTGACAATGTACAACACAGAAAGCTTCCAAAAAGACAAGACAGTCTAAAAACAGACTCACAACAAGTGACTACTAACCACTAGGATCTCCCCATCCAACTGATGGCTTTCAGAAGGAGAGAAAACACACGGGTGGGTGCTTGCATCTGCAATGTAGAATACTCATGCTGCATCGTGTGCAAGACAGAGGCTTCCGATCGGGGGAGGGAAGAGAAAGTGTTTTATATACTTATTTAATATCCCTTTTTAAATTAGAAATTAAACAGATAATTTAATTAAAGAGTAGGGATTTTTCAGTATTCTTTGTTAATATTTAATTTCAACTATTTATAAGCCGTACCTCTTTTTTTTTTTTTTTTTTTTTTTTTTTTTTTTTTTTTTTTTTTTTACTGGTTGTGTATAAATTTAACCTTCCTGTTGTCCCATCCCGTCTCTCCCCAATTGTTGGCAGAGTCAGTAGCATGTTATGGGCAGTTATTTAATTAATTTCTCTAACACCTACCCCTACACATTCCTATTGAGACAACGGTTAGATATACATCTACATACTATATATATATATATTTGGCTATGTGTTTGTATATATATATATGTTTATGTATATGTGTGATTCGGATTAAATAGACACTACGATTTTTTTATATATGTAAAAAGAAGAAACAGGAAAAAATAGAAAGTTCTACATCTTGAATCTCTCTCCTTTTTAATTTTAATATTTGTTATCATTTTATTTATTGGTGCTACTGTTTATCTGTAATAATTGCGGGGAAAAAAGATATTAACACTACATATTGTGTCTAGTGAATTTTTTCAAGATATTCCTTAGTACATATTTATTTTTAAACAAAGAAATTACAGATATATCTTAAAACAACGACAACAACGACAAACAAACTTTTTTTTGTATTAAAGAATTTAATTCTGACATTGATTTCCTTTGCCTTCTCCTTCTGCCTTGCATCCTGGTTTTCTTCCATTGTGTGACATTTTCTCCAGCATTGCCTCTGGAGGCTACAGGGCATCAGCAGCCTACCAATTGGACTCTCAGATTTGGGCCCAGAGCTTCCAAAAGCATCTAGGTACCTAAAACCCGTTGAAATGAATGGGAGGTAGGCACCAGAATCCTTGCATGGAGCTCAGCCCAAGTTCCCTGCTTGGTGAGAAGAGGGTGGTGTGATGGGCAGGACCAAGGGGGCAGGACTCCTGGGTTCCTTCCCATCCTGATGCTGAGCAGTGTGGTGATGGTCCCAGCCCTGCTTCTTTCTTGTCAGGAGCCAAGTCCCATGAGCTGGGTAGTGTACAGGCATGAGTAGATGCAATCCTGGTGGAATTTACAATCCAAGGTGAAAGTAATGCTGTGAGCCTGCCCTTTCTGGTAATGGACTTGGTGTGTATGTAACTCATTGTCAGGGATGGCTCAGCCAGACCTTGCTATTCTGGATAACGTTGAACAAAAAACTGTTTAGTTCTGACAGTGCTTATGACTTCATGAGGGATCTTGATACCATTGCATCTTTATGTCCTTTGGGGTCTAGGAGGAAAAACTTTGGCAGTGGTGTAATTTCCTCGTCATCCATGGAGATGAATGTGTCATGCATCAGTCATCTGTCCACACTGGAAAGGAGCATGCAGGATGTTTCCTGGACGTCTGGGAGGCGTCTCAGGGTAATACAGACCACTAAATTCATGGCTGCATTATTCCTCCTCTTGCAGAGGTAAAGAATCTGGCTTCTATTTAGCATGGACTTGGGTAGCTCAACAGGTGGACCTGCAGTCACTCCCTCGGAGTGTGGAGTGAAGGAAAGAGGATGAGTACCTGAGGACACTTTGGTTCACTGTGTTCAGTAACTGTCTTGTGGACAGCAGTGAGGTGAGAATGTGAGCCATCTGGATGTTTCTGCATGAAGAACCCCAGAAGTTGCTTCCCTTGTATATTCATCACTGGCTTTATTCTGTGTGGATCTGTGGGCTCTTTTGCTTGTGGCTGTGCAAGGTGATGAAGACAGCAAGCCTATCCTCAGGAGACCTGCACCGCCTGTTTGTGACCTGGGAAATGTTTACAAGTCATCAAATTGGAAAAATTGAAACCAGCAGGTATGTGCTTCTCCTCTGGGCTAAGCTGGATGTGAAATCTCAGCATGGAGCGACCCAGGTCTCCTGGATGGATGAGTCAGCATGTTTCTGTCAGTCACAACACATCAAACCCTCATCAACCCATCAAACCCTGTCCCACCAATGGCAAGCTGGGCAGGCTATTCCTGGTGCTCCTCTCTTTTCCTACCTCTAAGGGCTCATGAGAGGTAGGATATCTGCAGATCAAGGTGACCTGATAGCCACTTCTTCATGAGACAGTGGCTGGATAGCATATTTCAGATGGGACAACTCATAGAATTCGTTTGTGTGGATCCTGGATGTTTGAGGTAGCTTGCTCAAACTGCAGCAAGGCCCTGCCCAAGCTAGCTCTGATGGGGTTTACCTGGGGTCCTGGAAGCAGTCCAACTCTTCTTTATTCTCCAGGGTGGATATAACTGGGCTGTCATCTCTTGTGAGTAAGGTGATCATAGCTTGGTGTTGGAAGTGAGCTCAGGCTGGATGGAGAGGCTGTACGTGATTGAGAACCCTTTGGAGAGGCTGGGACATAGGAGAGCAGTTGCCCCTCACCCTACCCAGCGTTTGCACCTGGCTTGCCTGTGCCCTGGCCCAAGGTGAGGTGAGGACACATGGAGGGAGGCCAGGTTTTCAGGCTGGCACTCTGATCTCGTCATACAGCCTTTCACCCTGTGCACGAGAACTTTCCCTGAAAGGCTTCTGGTCACGTCCACGTTTTGGTTGCTGGCTAACTAAAATGCTATCTTCAGGCAGCCAGCTGATGCTTTCCTCGTGCCTGCTGCATTTACTGTGTGATTCAGAGAGTGGAGACACCGTGAAAGGCAGTAAAGGGTGCCCTGGGGAGACAACAGAAAATCCACTAGCAATGGAATAAAGAGTGCTTTTGGTTGGAAACCCTGTCTGTCTCTCCCTTTTGGCACCTGCTAGCTGGTTTAACCCCTTGTTGTTGATGGCTTGCACTGCTTATCAGGTCTGTATGTCAGCCAGGCTCTTCTTGGGCTCCACCACCACCTACAGTGCCTGTGTTAGAAGTCCCTATAAATCTCCTGTCCTTCAGGATGGTCCCACAGAGGACCTTAGAAGTCCAAACGAAATTCATTTCACAGGCCATGTCCTCCTCTGTCTGCTCGTGGGACCTTTGGTAGTGAGAGATAGGTATTTTTATAGTAGTCCATGTGATGAGTGTGCAGGCGGTCTCTCTGTGCTTGGGATGGCTGAAATTCAAGGATAATCCAGATCATCCAGCACAAGGTCTGCAGTCCTGGTCTGGGCAAGCACTGTGCTTGCTCCCAGCTCCCCCATTTGGGGCCAGGCCAAGGTGGCCCTGGTGGCACTATGCCACCCCACAAGCAGCTGCTGGCCCTTGCTGTGCCCCACAGCACCTGACACCCTTCACGATGGGGTGGCTGAG